CATGTCAAGGTGTACTATATTTAAGTGTGTGCAGGAAACCATGCAAAATACACCAAACTACTGACGAGTGTGTGCTAGAAATGAGGGACTTCAATTTTTTAGTCTAACTGTTTGTGTGGGTGCATATTTTCATGTCTTCCTCCATGCATATGATAGCAGGCCTTGTTATGAGCTGCAGAGACAATGCTCTGAGACATGATTGTATAGTAAAAGGTTTCAATCTGGAACACAACAACAGCAACAGTAAAACTAGAATTACCACTTTGTGGGTGCATGCCTCTGCCAACCAGTCAAATTTATAAGTAATAAAACAGATGTGAGGTCACAGTGACCTGGAACTTTGACCTTTGACCACCAACATGTAATCAGTTCATCCTTGAGTTTATTTGTGCCAAATATGAAAAGATTCCCTCCTGAGATACTGAACTCATGAGAACGGGGTAGAATGGCGAATGTATAGATGGACGCACCACCTGAAAACATAATGTGGTACAGAGGCATAAAAATAAAGATTATGAATCACATGCTATAAACTTATACAGCAAGATCACTTTTCAGTTTTGTTATTTGAATCTGTCTTAAATGCACACCAGGATTATAGGTATTCCTTGGTTCTTACAATTAAACCACTAACTTGCAAAATTGTATAATGCACAGTGATTCACAGATATTCTAGTGGGCAACCAACAAGTTGGAAAGTCTGTACAAGGGTTGTTTACAAATTTATATGGAGCAGAATTTGTGTCTACTTGTTATGCATTTATTGTTGCAATCTCATAATTATCTTTTATTTATGTATTTATTTAAATGTATGGAGAGAATAACAAGGACATGATTAAAATATGATTCAATGTAAAAGAATAGACATAATAAACTGAAAAATATCTTTGTTAATGTAAAGCTTTTATGGAGTCAGTATCAGTGAGATGTTAATGCAGCTTTTTTGATATTGTGCATAATTCAAGTGCATATTAAAGGCTGGGTATATTGATCATATATCATCATTAGATATACAGTTAGACTGTATGAATAAAATATATATTTGGCCAATTACTAAAATAATGCTATAAATAAAAACAATGTGGTAACACATTTTAGGTGTACCACACATAATTCCCACTTTGCAACAAACATACATTAGATTGCATCATGTAGTGCTAAATTAGAAAGCTATCCACTTTCTCTCACATTTTCAAAGACCACAAATTCCACTGTGCGTTGAAATGATGGAATCAACTGGGCACTTTTTTGACAACTCAAAACTTAGTATTTTGACTAGAGGCACTTAATTAACATAGTGACATTTAATTATGGAAATTAATGAAGACTTTGCTGTCCAATGCACAAGCATCTTAACCTTATGTAACAAAAGCTCAGTACTGTGAGCTGCTATCAGCAAAGTGCAAAAGAACATTTGGCGAGAAGCAGTGCAGAGGCACAATGTCAAGGGACTAGATGTTCAATAGAATTTACACTCTCTTTCATCAAATTCTCATCCTTTGAGGTCACACAGGGCAAAATATTATCCACAAGTACTGACAGAGAGACAGATATCATCCTGAAAACTTTCCTCTTCTAAAGATCTATCCTGTCATTACTTTACTTTGGCAGTAATTCCAAAGGGTTGGAGATATGCATCTTGTTGTACAAGCAGATTTGAATTGTTCACAATTCCTTGTTTTATAAAAGGATGAATTAGCATCTCCAGATATGTGACTGCATTACATGACCTAGATTGTAAACCCATGTAGCTATGAGTAGGCTGCATTATTTCTAGAATAGCACAGTAGCTGACGAAGCTGCTGGTTTAGAAGATGTACTATCACTCGTAGCTGTTTCATTACATTTCATTATAATGCAATGCAGATGCAAAATCTGTGGCACATGGATGTTTTTTATATTCAAGGAATATCATGCAGTGTCCATTGTATCAGCTCTACTGAGCAAACACACCCCAGGTAAAAGGGTTTAAGTAGTCTGTGAGAGTTTGGTCAGTTGATATGTGTATGAAGGTGTAACCGGAGGGTTGGCCACGCCTACACCGCCTGGTTAGTAATTTGTCAGGATGATCATGGGTATAAATAAAACCTGGAGAGATGCTGTGCTGGTAACTGGTCTGAAGTGAATCTCCCTCCATCGAGCTGTGTCGTAACTGGTCTGAAGTGAATCTCC